ATATATATATATATATAATATATACATATCTATCTATCTATCTATCTATCTATCTATCTATATCTGTGTATGTATGTATGTATGTAGTATGTATGTATGTATGTATGTATGTATGTATCTCTCTCTCTCTCTCTCTCTCTCTCTCTCTCTCTCTCTCTCTCTCTCTCTCTCTCTCTCTCTCTCTCTCTCTCTCTCTCTCTATATATATATATATATATATATATATATATATATATATATATATATATATATATATATATATATATATATATAATATATATATATATATATATATATATATATATATATATATATATATATATATATATATATATATACATGTACATATTATATATATAATATAATCATAATATATATAATATATATAAATGCATACATACATGTATAATATATATATATATATATATATATATATATATAATATTATATATATATATATATATATATATATATATATATATATATATTATATATATATATATATACACATATATCTCTCTCTCTCTCTCTCTCTCTCTCTCTCTCTCTCTCTCTCTCTCTCTATTCTCTATATATATATATATATAATATATATATATATATATATATATATATATATATATATATATATATATATATATATATATATATATATATATATATATATATATATATATAGGAATAGGGCGGTGCATCTTTCCTTTTTCGGCTTCCAATCCCTCACTATCAAGTACCCGAATTAAAATAATACCCATCAATGTTCATAACGTATTTTTCTACTATATTTGCATCATAGTTCAGTAGAGATCTCCTGCATATGTCTGCCCAACTGACACACACACACACAATCATTTGCTGAGCATTCTACGTGTATTTCCTTGCTCTTCTCCTTTTATTTATTATTCTGTCCCATCTTTTCTCTATTGAATGTTGTATTGCTCTTTCTTTCCTGTTATATCTTTCCCCCTACATGCCAGTGCTTCGATATCATGAAATATTTCACCACGATATTTTGAACCTTATCGGTGAGGGTAATCCTATCTTTACACAATAATATAATAGTAATACAATGCAAAATACAATCTATCTAGCGTATAAACCCAGTTCCGACATCCCAAAGAGTTCAAAAGACTGAGTTTACGAACCACAGAGCAGTATACACAGCACCGAAAATCAAATAGTTCGCTCACCGTCCGGGAAGTGGAACTAAAAACAACACAGAGAATAAAACCGTAGTACCTGTACCTGACAACGTAAACATCCGGTCACGTGTCTCCCTTGTCAGAGCTTGCATAAGTCCAGTTTAATGCGTGCTGGACCCTCGCATGCACAGTCCGTCAAGGGAAGCCATCGGACAAAGATAATCACAATGTTAAAAGCCCGGACGATGTTCTTGCATATTATTACGCTGTTGCACGGCGAGGGACGGCCACCTGCTGCAAAGGGCTTGTTTGTCGCTGTCGGGAGTTAGGACTTCTATTTCGAATTCTTTTAGAATGAAAAGAAATGAAAACGTTTTTTTTTTTTTTTTTTTTTTTTTTTTTTTTTTTTTTTTTTCCCACAGGAAATTGTAATCCCTTAATCTACAGCTGAAGGCATAATAGAACACTCGTAAACGCTTGGTTAAATGCTGAGGGACTGAAAGGAGTGAGCCAAGTGATCAGTCTTATGACTTTAATTGATAAATCGTTCATACACACACACACACACACACATGCATCACAACAGGCTTATCATATATACATTTTTTAACATGTTACAATGTAACTATATAACACACACACGCACACACACACACACACACAACACACATACACACACACAAATGAAGCTAGCAGTTGCAGTGAGAACTCATTTCTAATTTCTGATAGCACTATTTGTGTTGTTTGTTCTGTGCCTTTATGTATCTGTTTGCTTGTGTTGTGAGTGTGTGTGATGTGTGTGTGTGTGTGTTGCATGTGTTGTGTTTTGCTGTGTGTGAGTGTGTGTTGTGAGTGTGTGTTGTGTGGTGTTGTGTGTGTGTGTGTGTGTGTGTGTGTGTGTGTGTGTGTATGTGTGTGCCAATGCACAAAATGCATCGCAAACTCTCGTCTTTGCGTTCATCCTTTGACCTTTTCGTGGCCCCTCCTTCCCCCCCCTCCCCCCCATCATCCCCCATCCCCATCTTCTCCTCTCTCCAGACCCCTCCTCCCTTCCCCCCCCCCCCCCCCACTTCCCACAGCTGAAGAGCGAGAGCGAGAGCTGTCAACCAGAGCTGGCGGCGCGATCTTGAATAGTGAATGAAATGAATGACAAGGAAAGTGGCGCCGAGAATGGAACATCTTGTGAGAAATTCAGCCAAAAAAATGTGTTAATTCTCGGAGGGTAACTTTTAAAAGAAATTTCTTGGGAGGAAAAGAAATATAAATATATATTATACAGGTAATGGATGAATATGTAATGATAATGATAATGATTATAATAAAGTAATAATAATCGTAATGATATTTATGATCATAGTAACGGTAATGATAATGGTGATTAGAATGATAATTAGTAATGAATGATAATGATGAAAAGATGATAATATCATTAATAATAATGATGATGTTAATACTGTAGTGTACTGGGTGGTTATGATGCGTCACCAACGTTTCATATGGAAAATATTCATCAATTTCTCCCTCGTCAGTCTGGCATGAGCTTAAGACCCGTTCGAGAAATAATTCGGAAAAGTCTACGGGATCTGCACGCCCGATTTAACTATATAATTTCCACTCAACTGTACGTATCATTCTACACATCGTCAATTGAATGGTTGGACAAAGTTATAATTATAACATGATGGACTGTCACCACAGAGCCGAGGAAACCCTCCCTCCTGAAGGTGGTTGGGGGGGGGGGGTGCCAACATCCTCTAATGAGCCAGGAACCCAATACGTCGTCTTTATTGTATTTTTCCCTTTTTTTTTATTATGATTCAAATAAATATAACCCTCCATAATACATTAAGACGTTGATTTCAGTCCGCCACTTTTGACACCAAGGAAGCACCAGCATAAAGTTGAGATGAGAAATTGAGAAAAAAGAAACTCAATGTTAGTTATTTCAATAGGTAATATACGAACCTTGCATCCTATGTTCCTTGTAGCAGGTTCTCTCCTTTTCGGGTAAATAGGATCAAGTGGCTTAATAACCTTGACTACATGCCGATGGTTGATAGCCAAGAAATCCAACAAAAGTGAACGAAAAGAAAAGTTTTCGGGTAGTAGCTCCTGCAGGCTCAGTGAGGAGTCTGAGCAGGATTTGTGTGTGTGTGTGTGTGTGTGTGTGTGTGTGTGTGTGTGTGTGTTCCGTGACTCCTAAGTGGCTATGGGAGTAATACTGCAACCTGCTTCACTTGGAGGTATTTGGTCATGAGAACCGTTAATTAGTGGCAGAGAATTCGTCTAGATGCACTTGAGTAAGGGAACGACAGGCTAGTAATTATATGTTTTCTTTTAATTAATTATGTTTTTTTTTTTTTTTTTTTTTTTTTTTTTTTTTTTTTTTTTTAGTCCGGGAAACGCGAGATTTAGCTTACGTGTTCATGCATTATTCTTTGGTTTAATCTTAAAGGAACTAGTTTACCGTTCCTTTGCTTAAGTAATTTTCTACTTAGTGAGATCTTGTTCGTATTTTTAGTGCTTGTAAAACTGTAACATTTTAATTCTTCCATTTAGAATAAAATAATTCACGTGTTCTGTGTATTCTTTCACTTTTTCAAGTTTATATAAAAAGTTGTTGACCTGGAACAGAATATAAAGTAAAGTACGAGCTGCCTTGAAACAGTATATAGATTATTGATGTACTGAAATAGGCCTATCTTAGGCCGTCATCTCCTTTTTCCAAAACCCCGGACGTCCCGGGTTGATGCTGGACGCGTCGGGCTCATGACGTCATAGTTCGTGGAGGCGGAGCCATATCATCTAGCCGAGAATTAGCTCCGCCCCCTGCTTCTGCGCATGCGTGACACTGTTTCGTCGCCTGAGCCCTTCAATGCCCGCCAACTCGAGTTCGATAGATGCCAGTTAGGTTGTTTATTTTTAATAACCTATGCAAAATGCTCTGCTGGATATGCGAATCACAATTACCATTTGTTCATTAAAATAATTTAAATATCTATCTGTATAAATATTCTTAAAGAAAATACCATTTACAAGTATTAAAAAGAATACAACTTTACTGCCACCGGCACCATATCCAGATGTAAACAGAGAGAGAGAGAGAGAGAGAGAGAGAGAGAGAGAGAGAGAGAGAGAGAGAGAGAGAGAGAGAGAGAGAGAGAGAGAGAGAGAGAGAGAGAGAGAGAGGAGAGAGAGAGAGGAGAGAGAGAGAGAGAGAGAGAGAGAGAGAGAGAGAGAGAGAGAGAGAGAGAGAGAGAGAGAGAGAGAGAGGAGAGAGAGAGAGAGAGCGGAAGTGAAGCAAACGAGAGATGAAGCAGTAAGAGATGAAGCACCGCGATGAAGTGAACATAGGTGAAGAGATGAAGCACCGAGCGAGAGATGAAGCAGTGAACGAGAGGTGAAGCACTGAGTGAAAGATGAGGCTCTTGTGAGAGTTAAAGCATTGAACGAGAGTTAAAGCAAAGAGCGAGAGATGAAGCAGAGAGCGAGAGATGAAGCAGAGATCGAGAGATGAAGCAGAGATCGAGAAGTGAAGCAGAGAGCGAGAGATGAAGCAGAGATCGAGAGGTGAAGCAGGTGAGAGGTGAAGCACTGGGCGAGAAAGTTGTTAGAAGCGTTCTGAATCTGGCGAAGGTGACGGGGCCATCAGGGAGATGGCTACAGAAGGATGACGTTAACAACTTGACAGGTACTCAAGGTTGACGTTGACAGGTTGACAGGTAGAAAAGTATGACGTTAATATCTTGGCAGTGTTGTAGGTTCTGGGTGAGGTAGTGACGGTGTAGATGGTAGTACGTGGTTAGCATTGACAGGGTGCATGTTGTGTAGATTGCATGTGGTTTAATTGATACCATGATGACTTACGTGTGTGCAAAGCAGGTAATATGATACAGAAAGGAGAATGTTGATTAATGAGTTAATTAATGACGAGAGGGAAAGATGGTGTAGATGGTAGTAGGTGGTTGGCACTTACAGGGTGCATGTTGTGTAGATTGCATGTGGTTTGATTGATAACCATGATGACTTATGTGTGTGTAAAGCAGGTAATATGACACAGAAAGGAGAATAATAATAGAAAGAATCAATTCATAAGAAGGAAAGATGGTGTAGATACTAGGTAGCTATCACTGACAAGGTGCATGTGGTGTAGGCTACTAACCAACAAATGCGGGGAAAATTGATAACGATAATGACTTGTTTGTGTAAGTAGGAAATGAAATGAAGAAGGAAGGTATTATAATATAATATAATATAATAATAATGATAATAATAATAATAATAATAATAATGATATGATAATGGTAGATAATAATAATAAATAATAAATAATAATATAATAATAAATAATATAATAATATAATAATAAATAATAATAATGATAATAATAACAATAATATAATAATAATAATAATAATAATAATAATAATAATATAATAATAATATAATAGATTCACGATGAAAGGGGAAGATGGTATAAATTGTGGTTGTGGTAGACAGCTGGTATCAAGAGCCTGCATGTGGTGTTGTTGATTGCATCTGAATGTGTTGAATAGATAACGATAATGAATTACTTGTGCGTAAAACAGGAAATGTAATAAAGAGGAAGAAGTGAAGAAAGAAAGAAGTCGAAGGAAAATCATTTATTCATGAAGCAGGAAATAGAATTAACTTGCGCAAAGAGAAGAAGGAAGCGAGGAGAGAGAGAGAAAGGAGGAGAATAAGAATAAGAATTCATTCATGAAGCGGATTAATTCGGCGAGCGGAGGTTATTACCTTAATCGCATTAAGATTTTGGCTCGAGAGCATGAGACTAACAAAAAACAAGAATAAACGTAAAGCAAAGCAAAGCAAAAATATAATAAATAAAAAATAAATAAATAAATAATAAAAAATAAAATAAAATAAATAAATAAATAAAAAAAAGTAAAGATAGAATAAAGAAAGAAAGAAAAATAAATAGATACAAAAATAAAGCGAGAATTTTCGGTACGTATAAATATGGTATCGATAATTCTCACCGCGGTCAATGCAAATATATAATATATATATAGTATATATATATATATATATATATATATATATATATATATATATATATATATATATATATATATATATATATATATATATATATATATATATATATTATATTATTATTTTTTTTTTTTTTTTTTTTTTTTTTTTTTTTTTTTTTTTTTCAACAGTACCTAAAAAATAATAATAATAATAATAATAAAATAAATAATAATAAAAAAACCTTGACGCATTTTCGACTTAAGTGATGTGGTTCTTCTCTGGGACTACTGATTTTTTTTTCCCCTGTTATTAGTACTGTAATTGCACCCACATTTAAAACGGTACCGAGAGTGTCCATGAGACGGGGAGGAATTTCCGAAGTAGGGGAAGTATAGCCTTGTCTGTCTGTTTGTTTCGGCTCTTTGCTTCGGATGTTGTCTTGTGTATGTGTGTGTTTGTTTGTGTTTGTGTATTTGGTTGTGTGTGAAAGGCGTTTGTGTGTGTGGGATGGAAGGGGCGTGGCGATTCTCTCTCTCTCTCTCTCTCTCTCTCTCTCTCTCTCTCTCTCCCTCTCTCTCCCTCCCTCCCTCCCCCTTACATCTCCCTCCTTTTCCAGTTCAACCTTTCTTTTTTATCTAAACAGCCGCGTAAGAGATAGTCTGACAGATGATAAAACTTTCATTCCGTGTCAGGTAGATGCCTCGCTCCCAGTGGGTCTTCGAACAAGGTTTTCTTGTCTCGGTGGGACGTCCTGAGATCGTGACGTCCTGAGAGCGTGACGTCCTGACGTGTGTCCCGAGAGCGTGACGTCCTGATCCTCGCCTAGGAGGAGGACAAGGGACGGGCGTCGTGTGGGCGGTATACAGATGTACACGTTATCCTTTACCTGGTTTAGTTAACGTATTCACTGCTGTGTCGTTTTATTCGAGGTGAGGTAAAAGCATCCTGTCATATGTCTATTTTTCCTCTTTTCATGAATGGTTTAGAAGTCCCAGAGGAGAAACGCATGAATGAAACAGAACGAAGTCCATTAATGGTTGAATGTGTTTGGGCGTTATTCAGACACACAGCTTTTATCTTCTATGTGTTCTTGGCATTTGGATTTCAATGATGCCTTTGTTCAGTACCTTGTTTAGTTGACGTGTTCATCGCCCTGTCTTCTCACGCAAGATGAAGCACAGCGCCAAATCAAATGGCTATTTTTCCTCTACTTATGGGCGTTATACAGATATACATCTCTTATCTTTTCCGTTTTCTTAGCATTTGGAAATACATTGCCTTGTTTAGTTGACGTATTTATTGCCTTGTCCTCTTGCGCAAGATGAAGTACAACGCCAGA